GATATATCTCCAAAAGTTACTGGATTTAGCCAGCTATCCCAAGAAAAGCCCATGTGTGCTATTCTTTATTGTGCAGAAAAATTTGTTCCTGTCACCGTCGTGTTATCATCAGATTAAGCTGTCGAGGCAGATGGATGTGGCGGGGGGCAAGGGGCGCTGGCCGATCAGCAGGCTGCCTGCACCTCGCACCCATCCGTCTCTGGTGCGGGTGGGGGGGGGCTCGGGGCGATCAGCAGGCTGCCCGCACCCATTCGTCCCCGGCGGGGGGGCGCGGGGCAGGCGGGGCAGGCGGGGCTGGGTTCCCACCGGGTTGCAGGAGGGGCTCGAGGCTGCTCCCAGGTGCCACACCTGAGTTTGCTGCAAGGACTGTTACTTAGCAGGAATGTGCGGTCTCTAACATGAGTATTCCTAAAGTTCAGCGTTACCTGCCCTCTTGGGCAGATAACTGTGAGGCTGCCCAGCGAGAGGACGAGCTCTTGGCACCGGATCTGTCCCTCACGGGTGACCAGCCGTTTGCGGGGGGCATGCGGTGCTGAGACAGGGGGTCCTGGGCTGGCCCCCGCCTGTCCCCGTCCTGTGTCCTCCCAGCCGTCACTGCTGCCTCCCGGCCACTGGCTGGAGTCTGCCTGGGCCTTGGGTCAGAATCAGCGGTTTAACTTTCTTTGTTTTCTGTTTATCTTCACTAGTATGGGCTTTAAAGACTCCCTGTTCTTGTTTCTTCTAGAAAACAATTTATTTACTTTTGCCATGAATATAATTAGAACATTTCCCGGAGCCTCTGTTACTTCCCTTTACACTGCCGTGGCCACTGCTGTCCTTGTAGCATTCTCCGGATTATCTGTCACTCCAGAAAAACCCCCAAAGGGTATGGGTCTAACCTCCCCAGCCATTTTTCTCTTCCGTGAGTGGAGATTTCCTGCTAATGAGACTTCCCTCCTCAGAATCGGGTCCTTTTCCCCTGGCCTCGCTGATTGTGACAGTGGAAACAGGTGGGTTCTTGGAAACGTTAGTGAGATGCGCTTTGATTGGGGCCAGAAGGAAGAGTCTCCGGGTTTGCGCGGGGCCACCCTGCCCCGTGGGCCGGACACGTGCCGGCCATCAATGGGGCCCGGTGTCCCTCAGTGCAACGCGGGTTCACGGCGGTGCCGGCTGCCCGGTCTGTTTGGCTGTGGGTGCGTGTGACACTGCTCTGGTTAATTCTGCGTGGCTCAGAACGGTAAACCTGGTCCCAGGCGCCAGGTCCAGCCAGGAGGCTCCACTCTCGGGAACGGGGCGTGTCGGCCACTTCCCGACCTCCCTCTGCCCCCCAGGCTGCCCGACGCGTTAGTGCTCGGCTGCACGGCTGCTGCATCAGTGGTGAGGACCTTCTTACGTCATGCCCGTCCACCTCCAGGGACACGGTGACCAGCTCAAGCCTCAACTGCTTCTGCCCCGCACGCTGTCCTCCTCCTCCTTTCTAATCCCTAGAGCACTGGGACACCCTGACGCCCATCTCTCCTGCCAACACTCGAATGGTGCGGTCCCTCTGCACAGGAAAGTTGCTAGGGAACAAGATGGTCTGGCACAGAGTGGCAGACTTGGCCGGGTGACATCCTCCCTCCTGTGGGAGGCACGGTCTGAGAGTGTTCAGCTGCTCTCTCCCACCTGGACCTCAATATGGGTGAGCCTTCGAGGCTCACCTGCACCCTGCCTAGCTCCTCCCCCCACATCCCCTTGGGCACTTTGGAAACTGCACACTGTGCTACCTGGGGCCGTGTCTTTCTGGGCACCCTCCTGCAACTAACCCGGCGAATTCAACACATGTGACACAGCCTTGTCCCAGATTCTCTGACTACCTCCACGTCTCCTCGCACACGTGCCCGGCCGTGACCTCCTCTTCCTCGTTCCTCCACCCTTCACGCAGTTGTCTGCTCCCCTTGTGTGGTTTTCGCCTCTTCCTGGTGGAATTCCAGGGCCTGGATGGAGGGCCTAGCAGAGCACGCTGGGCACGGGCCCGGCGTGGACTGAACTGCGCCCTGGCTTCATAGGTCAGTGCTGACCCCGGTCCAGCGGTCTCTGGAGATAGGGCCTTTGGGAGGTAGATGAGGTTAAGTGGGGTCATAGAAGCGAGGTTCTGATCTGATAGGACTGTGGCCTCTGTCCCCGCTGTGTGAGCGCCCAGCGAGGGGGTGGCTGTCTGCGAGCCAGCAAGAGGCTCCGCCCCAGAAACTGAATCCGCGGGAACCTGCGCCCGGGACTTTCCAGCCTCCAGAATTGTGAGAAAATGAACGTGTGTTGTGTGAGCCGCCCGGCGTGGTGTCTCCTTACGGCAGCTGGAGCAAACCAGTGCACGGGGGAAGTGCAGACCAGAGTCATGTCCTAGCACAGAACTCATTAGGGGCTTGTGTGTGTGAGGTTGGAATTTTGGGCGGAGGATAACCTTGAGATCAGACAGTGCTCCAGAGTCTCTGTTCTCGGGTTCAGCTCTTGGCATACGCAAAAGCCGTGCGTGTGTCTTGGAGTAAGAGCCGAAGAAGAGACAGAAACCCAAATCTTAGGAGCAGAAAGCCCGGTGCGCAGAAATGGGTCCAGGAGACAAGGCAAGAGACACCGGATTGCTGGGGCCGCGGGAGGCCTGGTGCTGCCCTGGCCCCGGGGCTGTGCCGCGGCAGCTCGGGCAGGAGACGCTGGCGCAGATGCTGGGTGACCAGGTTACTTAAGCACAAAGAGTGGTTAGGGAGCCAGTCTGGGCAGGTTGGGTGGGACGTTTCTGTTAGTTGGTTGAATTCATTTTCTTTCCTTGAGATGGGTCAATACAGATTCTAATCTGCCTGGGTCCAGGGGCAGCTTGTGGTCCTCGGTTGCACGCCAGCTGGAATCCTCAGAACCTGGCCGTCCGTTGACTTGGGGGCTGGGATACCTCTCCGAGGATACATGGAGGTCTCTGTCGAGTTGGGTCTTCCTGAAAGGCCGCTGGCCTACACCTGGCCAAAGCAGCCCGCGTCACACCTGTGGCCAAGGATGGGGGAACAAAACAAGTGTAGGAGGTGGTTAAATTTATTTTTCCCCAACTCACCAATGTGTGCCGTGGGTTGTAGGTCTGCACAGTGTGTCACATCCACAGGGGACGCTGTGACTCTTGCAAGGAAAACTCAGATCGCAAGCTTTGCTCCTGGCGGGTCTTGTGGTTTCCAAGCTCCATCTGTGCCCCCCAGACCCCCTGGCCCCTTACCTTGCGGGCTGGCCCCGCGCCTCGAGGGCCCTGCCCTGGGCCCAGCTGCTGTGGTCCGTGCTGGCGAGCTCAGAGTCCTGGGTTCAAGAATGTGCCGTTAATGTTTAAAGTGTGGATTTGGATTCTTCTCGGTTACCGTTTTGTTTGTTTATTTATTAGCACAGCTACGTTTGTTTAATTCCACAGCGAGAGTCTCTAAGAATATGATTAACCTTCAGGGTCGCCTTATAATGTAATTATTAATGATTGATTCTGCTTATCCTCGAAATCGATGAGAGAGGCGAGGTGGTTCGGTGCGTAGTTGGGCTCGATTTCTTAACGTTCCGTAAACACAGTTCCGTGACAGCAGTCGTGTCGGTCTATTGCCCAGAACGTGTTTGATGCATCTGCAGTGTATGATTAGTTTTGTATAATTATTGTGATACGCAGTGCTCCTTACATGGCTTATGTTAATATGGCAAGTGGTGTTAACATCGCCTGCCACTAATAGTTAGGGTGGGGATGTGTAATAATTGATCTTCCTGGGAGTGCTCTAGTATGGAAACAATGCAGGCTGTGGGAAGTACATTTTACAAGTGTGCGTTGGGCCTTTGGGATGTTATATTGAAAAACCCAATTGTACAGTTACCATGGGAACCCAATTAGAATAGATTGCTTGATTTTTTTTTTTGTCTTTCATCTTGACCAAAAATCTAATGTATTTTAAATGTTTTCTTATGGAATTGTGGTCATATGCTGAGTTGTTATACCAACGTATTCTGTTTCTTCTTTTCCAACTTCAAGCTGAAATAGTGGTAAGGTCGCTAGCGGATCTTTATGAGGAAGTCTCCTAGAAAGATTTAATCAAATTTTCGTGGAAAAGTTTGTACGAGTGGAGGTGTTGGAAATCTTCTTAAAAACTGGGAGCATGGGTATTTTCCAACAGTGGCGGAGAGAGGCCCTCATGTTCTTCATTGGGTGGACACGGGTGTGTTTCTCTGTTCTTCTTCATGTTTGCAGATTCCGGCAGTAGGTCCCTTAAAAGGCCCTGTGGATGACAGAGGGGCAGAGGTAGCGGGTGGGGTGGGGTCTCAGGACTCTACCCTCCATGCTGGTGGTCCTCACATTGTCTGGTCTCAGAGTCTTTGCACACATAAAACTTGTTAGGGATCCCAAAGAGCTTGCATGACTTACATGGTCATATTTGCCACACTGGAAATTAACATGAGATATTTAAAACTATTTATTAATTCATTTAAACAATAATAACCCTATTAGACTTTTGTATAAATAACATTGTAACGAGCAGCTATATTTTCTGCAAAAAATAATTAATGAGGAATGTTACTGATTTACTCTTTTTCAAAACTTTCAACGTCTGGATTAACAGAAGACAGATTCTCATCTTTGCTCCTGCACTCGGTCTGCTGCGATATGTTGTTTCAGCTGAAGCATGTCAGGAGAATCTGGCCCCAGATAAGTAGCTGGAGAAGGGAAATGCATTTTAATAGCTTTGACCGATAATCACGGGTATTATTCTCATGTAATCTGAGACCTCAGTGAACTTTTTGTACTGCGTTACTTTTAAAATCCACTGGTGCATCTTACCGTCTTGAACGATTTTGTGACATCACTTGTGTCATTCTTTTGTCCTGTGGAAATTATTGCTTCATCCAGTTACACAGATCTTCCAATACCGATGTGTTTCATAACACAGTTCTAAAAGTCACGTTTGCTAATATCACCACCTTCCTGCCTAGAAAGTCTTCTTTTAGTATCGGGAAGCCACGGTGGTGAGTACAAGTCTCCCGAAGTTTTAATCGTCACTTAAAGCTCTCAATTTATCACTGGCGGCAAATGCTGTCAGTCGTGTTACTGACAGAGACAGACTCACTTTGTTCGTTTTTCAGAAAACGTCTGCCAGATGTGCAAGTGTGAATAGCCGCAGTTTGTTAGACTCTCGTACAGGTAAAGCTTCTGTTCTAAGAAAGGGTTGGCTGGTCCATCTCACACCTCCACTCACAAGGGTGCTTTTCTGGAGACGGCCGTGGTCTGGGTTTGCTGCAGAAGGCTTTGTTGCAATTGCCCATTTGGTCACAGAATAGTAAATGTAGTAAAGTTGAGGACTTCCCAAATGTTTGGAGACTTTCTCAATATTTTTCTGTTATTGATTTGTGGTTGAATTACTTTGTGGTCAGAGGACCTACCTTTTATGAGTTCACTCTTCCTAAATTTGTGGAGCATTGTTTTATGGCCCAGAATATGGTCTATCTTGGTGAATGTTTGTGTCTACTTGAATGGAGTGTATACTCTGTGGATCTTGGGCGGAGTGTTCTTTAAATGTCAGTTGGGTCAGGTTTGTTGATAGTGTGGTTCAAGTCTTCTCTATCCTTATTGGTTTTCTATTTCCATGTTCTATAAATTATCAGGATTATTGAAATCTCCAACTATAATTGGAGATTTGTCTATTTCTCCTGGCTTTTTCCCTTCACTTGAGTGGGGCGTGTGTGTGGTGGGACAGGGACGCGGGGAGTTAGGATGATTCTGCCCAGAGTTTGGGGCCACTATCTTGGTTCTTGCTAAGGTGTCAGCAGTTTTCCTGAACATTCCATCATCTGTCTTTCACTGCCAAGCGTGTGGTTAGCTGTGGGTTTTTGTCAGTGCCTTTATCAGACTGAGGGCATTTTACTCCTTTTTGCAATTTATATGGTGAATTACACTGATTTTTATGTATACATAAGCCAATTTCGCATTCCTGGATAATCCCCGCTTGGGCTTGATGTATTATTGTTTTTATATACTGTCGGACTCAGTTTGTTAATACCTTTGAGTGTTTCTGTGTCTGTGTTCATGATGGATGTTGGTCTGTGGCATTCCTGAAGTGTCTTTGTTATCAGGACAAGCCTGACTCATGAAATGAGGCCTCTTTTATTTCGTGGATTAGTTTGTATACTATTAGCATTGTTTCTTCTTTACATGTTTAATAGGATTTACCAGTGACGCCATTGGGTTTGAAGTTTTGTGAGAAGGACATTAACTACAATATCAGTTTTTTAGTAGATATAGGGCTGTTCAGGTAATTTATTTCTTCTCGAGCGACTTTTTGGGATTTTATATTTTTTAAGAAATTTGACTGTTTCATCTAAGTTGTTTAATTGATTGGCCTAATGTTATTCTGATATTTGTTTATTATACTTTTAATGTTTGTAGGATTTTCAGTCATGTCTTTGTTTTTGTTCCTGATATTGGCACTTTGCATTTTCTCTCCCTTTTTCCTGACCGGTCTGGCTAAGGGGCTTATCAGTTCTCAGAGAACCAACATTTGTTATCATTGATTTTTCTTTTTTTCTATTTTATTGATTTCTGCTCTTTATTATTTATTTCTTTCTGCTTACTTTGGATTTAATTTCCTTTCTTTTTTGTTGTTTCTTAAGGTGAAAGCTTAGGTCATTAATTTGTCCTTTCTTCTTTTCTCATATAAACACTTAATGCTAAAAATTGCCTCTAAGCATTGCTTTAGTTGCACTCACAGGTTGATATATTGTGTTTTCATTTTCATTCAGTGCAGTATATTTTTCAATTTCCCTTGTGATGTCTGCTTTAATACAGGAATTATTTGGAAGTATGTCATTTCATTTCTAAGCATTTGGGGATTTTCCCAAATGTTTGGAGACTTTCTCAATATTTTTCTGTTATTGATTTGTGGTTGAATTACTTTGTGGTCAGAGGACCTACCTTTTATGAGTTCAGTCTTCCTAAATTTGTGGAGCATTGTTTTATGGCCCAGAGTATGGTCTATCTTGGTGAATGTTTGTGTCTACTTGAGAGAAATGTATACTCTGCGGATCTTGGGCGGAGTGTTCTTTAAATGTCAGTTGGGTTGACATTTGTTTGTTGATAGTGTGGTTCAAGTCTTCTCTATCCTTATTGGTTTTCTATTTCCCTGTTTTGTAAATTATCAGGATTATTGAAATATCCAACTATAATTGGAGATTTGTCTATTTCTCCTTTTCAGTTTTATTCTTCATCTATTTCAAGTGCTTTCATTAGGTGAGTACATATTTAGAATTCACATGTCTGCATGGTGAATTAACCCCTTTGCACTTATGAAATAAGATTCTTTACTTGGTATTACTCCTTTTTTTTTTTTTTGAAATTATTTGTTTGATATTAAGATAGCCACTCTACCTTTCTTTTGATTAGTGTTTCTATAGTAAATATTTTCCCATTCTTTTGTTTACCCTATGTTTATCTTTACATTTAATCTGTGTTTCCTGTAGACATCATATAGTTGGATCTCTTTAAAAAAATTTAATCTGACAATACTGTTGTAAAATTATTTAGACCATTTACATTTATTGTAATTATTAATATGGTTGGGTTTAAGTCTACCATCTTGCTGTTTGTTTTGTATTTGTACCATTTGTTCTTTTGCAATTCCTCCCTTTTCCCTGCCTTTTTGATTATTTGAATATTTTTAATGATTCCAATTTAATGTTCTAGCTACACTATTAGCTTATTGATTATTTCCTCCCTTTTTTTTCTTTTTAGTGTTTGCAGTAGGATGTGTAGTATACATATTTATCATAATCTGCATTTACATAATATAATACAACTTGACATATACTGTAAGCACCTTACAACAGTATACTGCAATTTCTCTCATTCTATTTTTTGTTATATTATTGCTACATGTGTAATAAACTCCAAAACATATTGTTATTATTTCTATTTTAGGTAGTCAGTTATCTTTTAGAGAGATTAAAAACAGAACTCCCCCCCCCCAGCATTTACATTTATTTGCGTAGTTACTCTTTCTTGAGCTTATCATTCATTTGTGTAGTTCCTAATTTCCATCTGGCATTGTTTTCTTTTATACCTGAAAAACGTATACCAACATTTATTGAGTGCAGGTCTGCTGGCATATGAATGAATGTCTTGCTTTTGTGTTTGTTTTTTTGAAAAAGCCTTTATTTCACCTGCATTCTTAAAAAGATATTTTGTTGCTTTTAGAATTCTAGGTTGACCCTGTTTTTCTTTATAATGCTTTAAGGATGATGTTCCATTGTTTCCTGTCTTGCATAGTTTCTGGTGATCAGTTACTGTCATTCTTAAATTTGTTCCTTTGTGTAATTTGTCTTTTTTTTCTCCCTTCTGGCCATTTTAAGGTTTTCTCTTTGTCAGTTGTTTTCAGCAGTTTGATTATTTGTCTTGGTGTAGTTTTCTTTATGTTTTTGTCCCCTCAGGTTTCGCTGAGCTTCTTGCATCTGTGAGTACAGGTTGAGTGTCCCTTATTTGAAATACCTGGGACCAGAAGTGTTTCAGATTTCAGAATTTTGGGGATTTTGGAATATTTGAACATACATAATGAGATATCTTGGGGATGAAGCCCAAGTCTACATGTGTAATTAATTTCTGTTTCATACACACTTTATACACATAGCCTGAAAGAAGTTTTATACAATATTTTTAATAATTTTGTGCATAAAACAAAGTTTTGCCTGCATTTTGACTAAGACCTGTCACATGAGGTCAGGTGTGGAATTTTCCACTTGTGACATCATATCAATGCTCACAAAGTTTTGGCTTTTGGAACATTTTGGATCAGGGATGTTCTACCTGCATAGATCTATTTTTTAATCAGATTTGAAGAACTATCACTTAATAATGCTTTAAATATCTTTCTGCCTTCATTCTTTTTCTGAGGCCCCAATTACTTGTATATTTGACTGTTTAATATTGTCCCACATCTCACTGGTGCTCTGCTCATTTTTATGTCTTTTTGTCTTTCTGTGCCTGGATAGTTTAAAAAATGCTATGTTTTCATTGTCACTAGTTTTTTTCTTCTGTGTCTAATCTGTACATCAGGTGTACTTTTTGTTTACAAACTGTATTTTACATCTCCATACATTCTATATGAATGTTATATATCTTTGATTATAATAATATTTCTTTCATCATGTGCATGGTTTCCTCTATCTTCTTGAATACATGGAACATATTTATAATAGCTATTTTTATGTCCTAATCTCCTTATTTAATCATCTTTGCCTTTTCTGGGTGGGGTTCTGATGAATGATATTTTCCTGCTTGTGGGTTATATTTCCCTGCTTATGTGTATTTTTATTTTTATATTTTTTTAAATTTCAGACTATTATAGGGATACTAATATTTTGATTACATGAATTTCTTTTTTTGTACAGTTTGAGTCAAAGTTATAAGTGTGTCCATTACCCAGACAGTGTGCATTGCACCTGTTGGGTGTGAATTTACCCATCCCCACCTCTCCCCTCCCACCTGCTTGATTTCCATTGAATTTTACTACCATATGTACACATGGGTGTTGATCATTTAGTTCCAATTTAATAGTGAGTTCATGAGGTGTTCGTTTTTCCATTCTTGCAGTACCTCACTTAGGAAGCTGGTCTCTAGTTCCATCAAGATTGTCACAAAAGGTATTAGTTCCTGTGTGTGTGTTTTTAATTGGATTTCAGGCATTGAGAATTTTGTCATTGAGTGCTAGATTATGTTGAATTTTAAAGGGTTTGGACTTTGTTCTGGTGCAGGTATGTTATTTGAAATAATCTGTATCCTTTCAAAACTTGCTTTTAAGTTTTGTTAGGGTGGGTCCAGAAGAAGTTTTAGTCCAGGGATAGTTTAGCCCTACTACTAAGGCAGTGCCTTTATTTAATAGGGGCGTGTGTATGGATGTAGGTGTATGTGTGTACTGAATATATAAATATGAAATAAGGCAGCTGTGAGGCCTTTACCTGATGAGTGTCATATTATGAGTTCTTTCCACTCTGTGAACCATTCCCAGCTCTGTGCTCGGAATTATTTGGCCTGCTACTTTCTGGGGGTCTTTCCTTGACCTCAGAAGTTCTTTCTCAAGCAGTAGCTCGGTAGTTAGGCAGAGACTCACAGGGACCCTTCCGAAGATACCTGGAGCTTTTTCTGAGTAGGCCTTT